CGGTGCTGGCCACTGGTACCAATGATCAACATCTTGTATGTAATGTTTACACCGAGCCTACTAAAGTCGTTTGAGGTCTGCAATTATTTCTTATTGCAATCACCGGGTCAAAGTTTGGTCTACGGGCCGCTTTTGTTTGAACGAGCAGACGACAAAAAGCAGACAAGTTCGAAAGAGCAGACGAAAGTTCGAACGATCAGGCGGCCGTGTGAATTTGAAGACGCACTGAACCCGCGGGGGGCCCCGACAACTTGGCGGTTTTCTCTCGTTCATGTTGGAACAAAACAAATACATCTGGCGACCACAAAGTGTTGCCCGCACAAGCAATCGTAGTTCGACGGCGTCTGGTTTACCCTTTTCACGGCTACTATCTACGTACTCGGACGAACGGAGCGGGCAGGAACACAGTAAAACTGATCTCGAATTAACCTTTCCAGACTCTTTTGGCACAGCCCCCGTCGCAGTATTTTGACGAGAACGCAGGTTTTTTGTCTGGTTTCTCCGAAAAGAACACCAGAATGCATGCCTCGCACGGCGACTTCTGCCCACCGCCCCAGACCGGAAGTGCGTCCGACGCGCCACCACCGCGGCGTGACGTAGGAGAGTTGAGTTGGTGTATAGAGTACGGTCCACTAAAACTGTCTAATGTTCCGATTGATAACAACGAGCAATCTGTCCCAAGAAAGGCATGCAGATGACATGTAAGAGACGAAAGATGCCGCGCCGCTCTGGTATAGCATTAAAAATATTCTATGGGAATCTTCAGTACTAAAATCCTACTTACTGGTTAAATATACACGTGACACCAGTTGTACCTAAAATGGCCCCTTTTCTGCGTAGTTCAGGGACTGACGTACTAGAACTCCTCGTAACATAAAATACCGCTTTCTGCTCGGTCATAGAAGTGTGTTCGCGCAATGACATCTATCGCTGCCGGCCACTTTTTCGCGTACTGGGGCAATAAGCGTCCGATTTTTATGGTATTTTATGCTATTTTATCTTACACAATATTATGAAATAGGCCGTTTTAACTTTTTAGATTTGTCTTTAAACTGGAACCACAACTTTTCTTACAGACATGAAAATAAGAAATTAATTTAATATTGAAGATTATATAAAAGTATGTCCAATAGGAGAACAGCGCCGTACTTGCAACCAAGGGTAGATGAAGGTGTTTCTAAAGAAGGTGGGAGAAGGGGGGGGGGGGGGGGGGGGTCAGTGTATCAGATGCTTGAAAAACACGCCTCCCACAATCTTTTTCCCCGACCAAATTTTTTTACAAATGGTAATTAAAGTACAATTACCATCTTGAATGTACGATGGGGGGAAAATGAAATACGAACAGAAGAGCCTGTGGCTCGCGGTACAGGCTGCTTCGCCCGGAAGTGAGCCTAGGGGCGAGGTTGTGTAGCCTACCCCGATGTGTATACGCCCCTCGCTCGGCACTTCCCAGAGCGCGCGCTTTAGCTGCTACAAGCGCCGAGCTTCCTCGCGCCGCAAGCGTCGAGCGAACAAAGATAGCGGTGATCGCTTTCAGCGCAGTAGAGGCGAAAAGGTCTCGGAAGCGCCGAGACCTTTTCATACTCCTTCTTAGAATCACATGACGCGGCAGCCATTAGGTTGCTTCAACTTGCTGCTCCGCCCTCCCCTCCGCGCCTTGTCGGATGCGTTGTATTTGCGTTTTTCGTCGCGTTTCGCCGCGCCTTCTTGCATTACTTCATAAAACTGTAGTCCGATACGTCTACTCGACGACTCCTGACGTTTGTTTACTAATAGTGGCGGAATATTCTCTGTAAGAAGCGCGTATATTTATATCGCGCCATTTAGGTAATTTCTGTTCTACTCAATTTACTTTTGAAGTTAATACTCAGTAACTTAATCTAATTAATTTTTTTGATAAGTTCTACATGTCTGATATTTTCAAATCTTGAATCCGGAAAGCGGGAACCGCAAAACGTCACGTTCAGGTGACCGTTGACGTCACTCCTACCTTTGGATTTCTCCGGGACCCGTTTTCGCTAGATTTGCGGATTGATTTGAACCGCTCTTTTTACCCGTACACTGGTCGTGTTGAAGCGTCCGGGAGCCAGAAGTAACGTCGCCTGTGACAGCAACGGTTATGTTTCTCGGGTTCCGTGAGACAGAAGAAAAGTTGGAAATGTTGAAATCTTCAGACCCAAATGAGGCCAGATTTCGCAGTAGCAAATCAAGGGAAGGTGGTTCACGCTCGTCCCCTCCTCGCAATCCTTTCACGGCAGCGGGTTGGGGTTGGGTGTGCTTATCACTACTGGGGAACCCTACAGAAGGACAAAAAGAGACAAACAAAAGCTGAAGAGTTTTCGAAAAAAAAAAAAGAGCTAAGGATTGATTTTGACGTGTTTGGGCTTGCTGACTCCAAATTGCATTACCGTTTATCCTAAAATCATCACTAAATAAAAAAAAAAGTTTGGTAGAAGCACTTAAAAGACCCCAAAAAAGAAAAAAATAATGTTTCTTTTTAAGCAGAGTGGTTGGGGCACGCGCGTCAAAAAATTAATTTTACGCAAAATCTGTTTTTTTTTTTTTTTTTTTTAAAGCAACATTGACGGGGCGAGACGCGATTTAGTCGACAGTTACCTCCTTTCCACATGTTTTCTCTCTCGACCTTTCGAGCGTGTGGAGGAAAGGTGGATCGGCTTCGCCTTTACGTTGAGGTGAAAGAGCGAATGACCATTGCCTGACATCATGGACTTTCCGCCCAGAATTTCAAATAGATCCTTCACCGTCAATATTGCTCTGCGTTTGTTTTTCGCGTTTCCCAACCAGACTGTTTGAATTTTTTTTCTTTTAAGACTGCTTACGTGTAGAAAGGCGATAGCATTCCAACACGCAGCGCATTCTTACAAGCAGCGCGCCACGTCTTCGTATCGCACACGGCGCTCCAGCGGTGACATCCCGCTCCGCCAGCGCGCAGACGCGGCGAACCCCTCCTCCCAAACGACGGCTTCCGTGACAAAGCATATACGCTGCTGTGCTATTCTTTGTGTTTTTTTTTCTGACGTGCGTCCGCTTTGACCTTGAACTTCCCCGCCGGCTACAGGGACGAATCATTTGCGTGGCTGTTCTTATTTTGTATTTTATTTCTAAAATGTGCTTGATGTAGTTTTATGACCATCTTTCGTGGACAACGCCGACGGCTTTTCGCGTAATGGGACAAGTAAGACTTTCGCCTTAAAAATAATGAAGAGAACGGTACCGATCGCCGTGGCGGCACGCCATTGTACGGTCACGCGTGACGCGCCACTACGTAATTAAGGGGCCATCTCGATTCTAGGTTGCCCCGTCGATTGCTGAAGTAGTCCGGCGCCGATACTTCTAGCTCTTGTAAACCTGGTTCACCTTCAGATTTTTCGAGATCTTTCGGCGTATCCTGAAGGGTCATATGTGCAGAGAGCGTTCGGCATGACAAAGTACCCGTTCTAGCCGTTGACAAATCTGAAAAATGGCCGCAGTAATGTATGGAGCTGAGAGGAGCTGCTTATGTCGAGGATAGCAACACGACATAGGGGCTTCATAAGTTCCGGAACGTCGACTGTTGCTTATTGTAATGTAAAAAGTGATGACAGTAAACGGAGTGCTGTTGGCGGGACGCCCATGCCAGATTAGGGTGGCTCTCCCCGAAACGGTCGACAGAAGACAGGAATTCAGACCACTGCGCCGGTTGTCCTTGGCAGCTGCACGACATTTGAGCGTGGAGGCTATGCATTGTAAACCAGCGCTAGAGCTGAAGAGCCCTCCCTTGGGTGACAGGAGAGTTTCCCTGAAATGGAGGTCGCGTAGGCGTCCTGCCAGCGCGATGTACATCTGTGTTCAAGGTTGGCCTCCAGCATATGGATGATCTTGACTGTCATTTCTAAATTCTAAAGGTCTTTCGCGTAAATGTCATTTTAGATGCCCGTCTGATAGAGGTATTAGACCACACGAGTAAATGCGCGGAAAGGCCGTCCGTGTTTGACAGCGACAATACGGAATCACGCTTGAAACCCTTCAGATAGTGCTGAAAGCTTCTTGGGCCTCTAGATTCACATGTTATGCCAGAAGGTACCTCGAAGGAAAGGTTTCGTCAAGTTCCGTCGTCAAGCTCTAATGGCGTCCATTTCTTCACAGGCCCACTGTTTTCACGGCACTGTTTGCGCTGTGAGCCTTCGTCTTTCACAACACTCTCTGCGGTGCGAGCGTTCATGTTCCACAACCACATGTTGCTGCTAACCTGCTATGAAAAGCGCGTTCCGAAGTGTTGAAATTACGGACGTTGGGGTAATAGCAGTGCGCAGCAGACAATAATCATCTTCATTATATGAGGGAGTGGCGCCCCTGGCTGTGATTATGTGAAGCATAAACAACGCGCCAAGGTATGGGGAAGCCAGAAATTGGGCAGGTATTTTTATTATGAAAAGGGATATGATGAAGCAGAGTATAACTCAGACAATTTAGGAAAACTGAAGTCACGTGTGAAGCGCGAAAGGGCAGGCGACTCGAAAACGCGGATTATAAGATTACCATCCGCGTTTTCGGATCGTCAGTCATGTCTTTTTATTTTTCGTGCTCGCGTATTTATCTCAATTAAAGCAATTATTTTGATAATTATTACACTCCTCTCGTTTCCCGATGTCCATCGCAGTCAATAAATTTATCCTGGAGGAATTTATATTATATATTAAGATCCTTTTATAACTTTTTTGAGACTGAACAAAACATCACGATAGTGGCCGGTATTGATATGGCGATTCCAAAAATTCACAAATAATTAAAATGGCAATTACTGTTTTTTTTTTTGACAGCTTATTCTTTTCAGAAAAAAATTGCAGACGGGAATACCATGTGCATTTGAAAGCCTACAAAGTCCGGCTTAATAGAGTACGGGCTAACAAAAATTATATAAAAAACAGCATTTGTTTTTTAATTATATGTGCCAGAGCGAATGAAAGCTTCTAATATACCTCTTTTTATGTTCCCCACAGACATTTTAAGCAACATGACCATAACAGCATTTCAAGCTGAATCTCTCAATGAGACAATTGCAATGGCCTATCAATCGTGCATGAAGGAAGGTACGTATTTTGCATTAATACCCGTAAGTATAAAAAAGTGAAGATAAAAGAAAATGGCCGTTAATTTATTGGCAGATATCTCCCTGGACATTCACATGTTTTTTTGTGAGAACACACTTTACTGACTTATTTGTCTCTCCTAATTTTAAAGAGAAGGACCATTGCTAAACATGCACACATTTTGGTTGCTGGCTTTCTTAAATATTATCATGTGATATAATTTCAGATTCGTCCCAACCAGCGGAAGAAATAAAACGGCTACAAAATACCTTGAAGAGATTCGGCATCCTTGAATGGCCGATGATGACTGGCTCAAATAAAACCATAAACTGGCAAGAAATATTTCGAAAAATCCGAATTGGAGCAGACATGTTGTTTATTTTTAGTGTAAATCTAAACCCTAACCTTACCAACACGTCAGTGCGAGCCATTGACGTAAGTAGCGTCTTAAATATTCCTCCCTTCTTTGTTATGCTAGCAAGCTTCAACCATAATTGAAAATGTGAGCTTTCATTAAGTAGATCAACGTAATCATTAACTGTCCGCCTTGCTGAAACCAAAACGACTCAATAGAAAATACGAAAAACTGCAAAGAGGTTCGGGAACACAGCGCGCGGCCCTCTTGGTATCGTCAAGTTAGTTCCGGGCTTTTGACATTTCGAAGGCAGTTGCACTCTCTCAGTGATTGAGATTCTAAAAGTTTGTGATCAGCCAACCTAGACGATGGACTAGCCTCTCGTCCCTTTCATTTCTGATAAAACGTTTTTTTAGGTGTTAAAGAGAAAGAAATCGTACCCTTTAGTTGTAAAAACATTTCTCTCACCACCTTAGCTCCAAACTCATACATGGGACCCAAATGTGATTTTTTTCGGGGGCTATTAGTAGCAAAAGCTCGCTTCGGGGAAAATTTTTGAGTTTCTCTAAAACGAACTGCGCCCTGGGTATTATTTTGGGGGGGTGGCAAAGAGCTAGAATCAATTTTAGATAGCTTTGACCTCAGTAGAGCACAAGTCGCGGACGTCGTGCCGGAAAACGAGTATTTGTCCGATCCTGCTAGAAAAACAGAACTTCGGTATCGGCCTTGTGATGCGCGACTTTCTCAAACCTACCCGCAAAATTCCTTTCATATAAACAAAATTTTTAACTCGACCACGAAAAAAAATAAATAAAAGAACAGGCCGGGGAAATTAGGTTGGCGTCACAGATCAACTCGGCGCCCGCAGCATCCTGTCACGTATGTGTAGCAGCCGATATCGAAGTTCTAGCTTATGTGATGAACCAAATCAAGTCGTATAATTAAATTGTGTGTTCGACAAGAGCGACAGTAAAATCGCCCCTCTGTGACAGAGTTGAGAGCGAACAAGCACGCCGTCTCTATCTGTTATGATGTCCGTCCTGCGTACACGCACCCTAAATCTCTCCTACTCGGTTTTAGAAGTGTTGTTTTTTACAAAACTGGTTGATGATCAATTCACAAAACGGAGAGATTCTCGGCAGATTGATTACGCTGTGTACGTACAGAGCGAGAAAGGACACCGTGATAGACTTAGCGCGAACCGCCGCTACCGTTTCTAAACCAAGGCATCAGAGTGAAACATGCATGGTCCTGCTCGAGGAGGCTTCGGCCTAAAAGTGATCACGTCCTGGACTTGCGGAGGGGCGTTTGGGGATGCCTTCACGCACTCCGTGCTCGCGCACAACACTTTGGTACAGCACAGTCACAAGAAATATATTGCTGGATGAAAGGCTGATTGGACATGCAAAAAAAAATGGTGGTGTGCCAGATGAGTGTTCACAGTAGGTTCTTGAATCCTCAAATGGACCAGGAGGAGTACAGGAACCTGCGTCGCGTCAGCCAGGCAAAAGTTCCGCAGCTTCTTTTACTCATGGAACCCAGAGTCCCTTGACAAGATAAACCAGGAACGCAAAAAACACAATAATGCACAATTTTGGTCTTGCTCGTCGAAAAAAAGAACAAAAAAAAAAAGAACAGAAAACGTTGTATTGCTGCTAGACTAAGCGCTTTGCAAGTCAATCAACCGCCAGAAATCCGCAAGTAAAAAGCGCCCGGCAATTAGCCCCGAGAACATGACGTGGCGCCACCTCACGGGCCTATCGTCGTGACGTAGGATAGGGGATCACGTGACCGTTTTTTGCGCTCAGTGTGTAGGGTGCAGTGTCTCGGTCTTCGCTTTTTTCTATTAGTACGAGTGTTTAAGGTTTATTTTAACCCATTTTTTTCGTTTTTGTACTCGATCCGGTCAAGCTCCTAAGTCGGCTACCGTACAACTGCTTCCGGGGAGCCGGTGAGCCTGTTGCAGGCTAGCAGGGAACCGGTTGCTGCAGGGCAGCGCGGCGGCGTAGACTAGACTAGACGGTACGGGCCAATTTGTCGTTTTCGGCGGCTGTATCGGGCACCGCGATGGATGCGGACCATGTGCGACCTACCGTTGAAGGTAAGCGAAGCTTTTTTTTTAGCTTCTATTTGACCGGGCAGCCCGTTAAAACTGTGTACCCCTTTTCAGCTGTGCTGCCTGTAAGCAGCATCAACGCGTTCGTGAACAAGGCCCACAAAACATCCCGGCTGTTGCTCGAGGGCGAACGAGTTCTTGAAGCGGGACATGTCTTCTCCTGCAGTATCAAGAAGGTGGATAAGGACTGCTACACGTTCATTGGATTCGTCCTCCAGACGTCGGCACTGACTTCGGACCCGCACGAGCTGGAGATAGCACTGAATGGAAGAAACGTCGGTGACTCATCGTGCTCCTGCAAAGCAGGGTAAAGGAGCATGCCGTGTATCATTACTCGGTTGAGTTGTATGTACTTATCGGCCGGCGTGTTGTCAAGTCGATCGAGGAGCTCGCGGCTCGAGCCGGGAACCGAACAGTTTGCGATAACCGGAGAAGTGCTGCGCCTTGTTTACGAAATACGATCGGGCTTTGCTCGTTTTTCCCGTGGCGCAGTGGTTAGGTGCGCGCTTCGTAAGGCGCTAGTCGCGAGTTCAAATCCGCGCGTCCGTCTTCTTTTTTTTGTTGCTTTTTTTTAGTTTTTTGAGTATTCTCTTTTATCTTTTCTGCAATGTCGGAATTTTTGAGCTACTAGTATTAAACCTTGTGGATAACATTTAATTCATAAACTAATATCCAATCATCCAAAGGCCAATGGCAGTTTGTGTACAGCACTGCTGCTTTTCTTTCTTCTGTCAAAAAAGATTATGCAAATATTCCTGTAGCTAGGTCCATTAGAGTTGTAGAATAGTTTTCTCTCGGCCCCTACATAGTAACCAGATGCACTACAAAAAGAAAAATATTACATGCAAATACGAGTGCAGCTGCCTTCGTATCAGCAACCTTTAAACTAAAATCAATGGAGCCACATAACATTCTCACATTTATGCAGCTGCTGGTTGCTTAGATACCACTAAGCTGCGAGTGATTTTCATGTTAAAATAGTCGGTGAAATTTTATGTCTTGCTATTCTCTGTAGATTACTCTTTCAAGTCTATTAACACTCAGCTCTACTGGCATTGCATACTGCCAACTTGTACATGCATTTTTAATCTCATTCAAATAATATTGAAGTTGCATGAGAAAGGTACTGCTAGAGGGTGAGACTGTTCACATTTTATGACTGATATTGGATATGCTGTTTAATTGCAAGCTAAGAACATTGTCATTTTGCAGGAACTACAAGTGTAACCACGTTGTGGCAATGTTGCTACATATCAACGCCAAGAGGAACTTCAACGTACTGGCGTCCACAGACTTGCCACAAAAGTGGGGGAAGGGGCAGAAGAGAGCGGTCGGGGAGAAGTATGCTCCGAGGAAGATCGTCAAACTCCCGGGTCTTGAAAAAGTGAGCTATGAAACTTCTATTTATGCACAGCGCTTTTAGTAGACCTTGTGCATACCATAAAGCTCCCTCCGCCAGCGCCAAATGAAATCACGGGAAAGGGCTGTACAAGACCCACATATAAACGCTTCTTCTGCCCTGACCTGTGCTAACGGAACTTGACCAACAGTGTGCCACGGCATAGGTACGCCGAGAGCACACAGGATGCTCCTTCATTTTCTTGTGTGCGTTGCGTGACCTTGTGGGATTTTCACTAATGATGTAGTGCATATGTTGCGTCAGCCTGAGTTAGCAAATCAAATGAAGACAGTGATGTGTATGCTGGGCCAGTTGTGCGAAACTGTGCCAAGGAGCTAACCCTGCTACGTCCTGCTACATTTGCCAAAATATGGGTAGTCTACACCAAGCCTGTGCCAAAGCACCAGTTTCGGTCGCCTTTCAAAAACTAAACTAAACTGAGAACCGTAATTGAGCATGCGTGACCTAGGTGGCGCAAGAAACCGCCCAACACTAAGTACCCCGCATCAATCATCCGTCCGATCACCCCCACCCCTTGCATGGCTTTTCCCGCCGTCTCAGGTTTTGCGCTCTCATGTCATCTTGGGGCTCTTGTCCGGTGGTCTCGTCTCGCGCCTTTTTCAATTTTTTTCAACGATACACACGGGCGTGTGCGGATGCTCTGACGTTAGTGTGCCGGCCATGCCGTCATGCTGTGGAACAAAACCAATTTTTTTTTTTTTGCGCGGCAAGAGTTGCTTTGTGAGCTGAAGCACTAGCACAACCACAGTCACCATGGTCGTGCAATGTAACGGGTTGCCGTCCCCACGTCGCTACAAATATGCCGCTTTCTAAACTGAAACGTAGTTACTGCTGCGTGTTCATCAACATTCGTGCTCTCGTTTAAATCATATGGCACTACCAAAATCCCCCTTTTCAAAAACTGCTTGTCGAAGTAGTGATTACATAGGTTTCTCTCGGTGGGCTTTCTTTTTCCAGAGGGACCCCAATACGTAAAAAATCTGCCGCGAAAGAGTTAGTGACGAGAAGTGAGCAAAGGAGGCAATGTCTGCAAGCTGAACCCGCAGAGTGTTCTTGTTTGCCACGAGTTCAGTCGTTGGACAAAGCGCTCCAAAAACTTTTTGACCCTGGCTCGCGATGCCATACATCGATGCACTCAGGTTCTTTTTTTCTGGGTGTTTAGCTTGTACCTCGCCTGCCGGCCTGTCAAGCGCACACCGCTGGACTGCTTTTTTTTTTGTTTTTTTTTTTGTCGTATGCTAGGCAGTTGCATTTTGCATACAATTTTGGGATCCAGTAGGCGACAGAACGGAGTGACATGATTTCGGTTTCGACCGAACAGCCATTGTCTCCGCTTGCACAACGAAGCACGCGCAACTGCAAGCCTGCCAATGTTGCCCTTACATGCATGCGAACATGGTTGCATGAAAGAGGCACTAGCCGGGACGCTTGCAATCCATTGTTTTACGTTTGCTTAATTTTGGCTAAATTTTGCTTTATATTTTCAGGCTGAAGGGGATCCGGTCCTGCTTCCTAAAGGCGATATCCTGGGACGACTACTGGAA